GCATTTCTAATAAGATTCAGCTTTGGAAAAGAATAAGTGACAGTTAAACAAAAAGATTTCACTCTCATATAAACACAGTAACATAGCCATCTCACATTTTTAACTTGTTATCAGCATATTGATGGCTCTAGCAGAACAACTTAAACACTACTGTTTGGGTTGTTTAGAAATAATATTAATGATTCTAAGGATCAATGTGGACTACTTAATAGCTGGAACAACTCTGAAAACTATCAGCAAGGCACTATAAACTTGCACCACATCTACTTTGGTCAGGACTGTGCCCAAGCCTTTTAATAAATCCTGTCTCAGGTGCCACCTGAGAGACTGAAATATGAAAAATCCTAAATGCAAACAGACAACTAGAAAGGATGTCACAAATTGCTTTTTTAAATGCAGAACGGTTTTTCAGTGAGGAAAGAACTCTATGACAAGAATAAAGGACAGCCTGGGGGAAAGGGTGCCAAAACAGATTTTTAACTCCCCAAGGATAATGAACAACTCCAGGGATCTGCTAAAATCATCAGGACTTTGAAAGGGGAAGTTGCATTCAGGTGGATTTCTGTCATAGCTGTTGTTCTGTAGAGATCACATGCTAAATATAAAGTCATTATACATGATTAAGAAGTTCTTTGCAAGATTTATTTCTAGATGCAGCTGTCAGACATCCCCAAAATAGGTGCTGGACTCCCTGGTATATTTAAAAATTAATGTGTCTGATGTCTTAGACCTACTAAGACTTTGGAGACCAACTCTGTGGGATTTCATAGAATATTCTATGATATGCAAAAGAAATCTGGCAAATCACCAAACTATAGTGTACAGACACAGTAGTTCCCAGTTTGTCCAGCTCATGGGCTGCCCTCTTTTATCAAGACCCATGAATATGGGTCAATTTCATTGGGGATATTCCTCAAGAGCTTAGCTCTTGAAGAATAGTTTTACAAATTTCTTATTAGTATTCCAAAGGACATTATAATGTAGAATGGTTATAATTATTTTTTTTGCTCTGTGTGTTTACAGGGACATGATGACCTAATACTTCCTTCTGAACCACAGACATGTTGTTAAATTCTCATAAGATGCAGTATCTTTTGCAGCCACAAATGAGAAATTTGGAGGTTCAGAAATGTACATACTAGTAAAACCATACAGCTGCATTATCAAAACCAGTTTTTAAACAATTTTTGCATCCTCAAATCCACAAATGAAAGAAAAAAATAACTACAGATTGTATACTCATTTGATCATTTTCTTTTATATTTGAAAGCATTTTTTTTTCACAGATATATGCAATTTGAGTAACTAAACACAACACAATAAACAGTCATTGTTCAAGTGTTTTTGTGAAACTGTTTTTTTGTTGAACTTTCTAAGAGAAAAAGAAAATAAGAAAAGATACGACAATCTGAATGTCTCATGTGTAACCTTTTCCTACAATCTAATTTGCTTTGTTTTAGTAAAAATAAAATAAACATGCCAAAGCCTATCATCAGACTTCCAAGTTTACATTCTAGTATTCCTATATCAAAGAGCAAACTTTTCAACATTCCTGTAACAACACTACCTCTGTTTTCAGGTTGATGAGGTATAACTCTCTAAAACAGAAAATTTAATTTAAAACCAGCATAGTAATCAATTTGTATTTTGTACAACATTCTAGCTATTTGTAGTTCTGGTACCATGTTACAAGTGTAAGTCAAACATTTCTGACAGTGCCATGTTCAGAGGGAATTTAAGGTCTATAGAGCAAAGAAAACAGATTTTTCAACACAGATTATATTTCTTTATAAAAAATGCCCTGAAAAGACTATTCTCAGTCATCCAAATCAACTCTTGATTCTGTCTCTCAAACAAATGGAAAGGTAGGATCCAGTCTAAGTTGTGCCTAAAATTTCAGAAACCTCCTAAAGTACATGTGTGAATTCTTTATACCATCAAAGGAGAGAACTTCATGACTTTGAAGGTTTTCAAAAGGAAATTCTGAAAACTGGGCCAGAAACTGGTTTTTTTTCCCCTCAATTGGAACAATTGTATTTGTAGAGAAGATCATAAACTGAAAGATTTCAAAGGCAAATACATATGTCTACCTGTCTTAGGAAGATTCTTTTACTAGCTCAGGTTAGGTGGGAAAGATTCAGCAGACCTTAAAACTTTGGAGGAAGCTAATCAGAATGGAACCATTATATTTTCTGCAGAAGAGCTCCTCATGCTTATAGACCTCACAGAACAAAGTGCTTCATACAATTGAACAATCTGTTCTAAAAATACCCACATATCTCACAACTGCTTTGATCTACATAATCTAAGCAGATGGCTATCTTCTGCATTGTACATGAAGTGCCAAAACATGAACACTTATGATGTACTAGTTGTAAAATCAACATGAGCCAGAAGCCACTCAATCTTATGAGTGCTCCTAATGTTATAGTAAGTGACCATCAAAGTCTGAAAACAAACCAATAAGTTTGGATCACATAATATATTTCTAGGTCCATAAGACTCTTGTATTTTCAGTCAAACACAGTAAAATTTTAGATCTTAATTATAAATAGACTCTTTCATAGTACCATTTAGGTTGGAAAAGACCCTTAAGATCACTGAGTCCAATCATAAACCTAACACTACCAAGTTCACAATTAAACCATATCCCTAAATGCTATATTTACATATCTTTTAAATATCTCCAGGGATGGTGACTCCACCACTTCCTGGGACACCTGTTCCAATGCTTGATAACCTTTTTGATGCTTTGTTGCCCTTCTCTGGATACGCTCCAGCATCTCAATGTCTTTCTTGTAGTGAACAAAACTGAACACAGTACTCAAGGTGCAGCCTCACCAGTGCCGAGTACAGGGGAAGGATCTCTTCCCTACTCCTGCTGGACATACTATTTTTGATACAAGTCAGGGTGCTATTTGCCTTCTTGGCCACCTGGGCACACTGCTGGCTCACGTTCAGCCAGCTGTTGAGCAGTATCCCAAGGTCCTTCTATGCTGGGCAGATCTCCAGCCACTCCTCCCCAAGCAATGGGGTTGTTGTCACCCAAGTGCAGGACCTGGCACTTGGCCTTGCTGAACCTCATACAATTGGCTTCAACCCATTGATCCAGCCTGTCCAGATCCCACTGTAGAGCCTTCCTACCCTCAAGCAGATCAACACTCCTGCCCAACTTGGTGTCATCTGCAAACTTACTGAGGATGCACTCAATCGCCTCATCTGAAAAATATATTAGTCTTTCAGAGATTTTAAATTTGCAAACAAACAAGGGATAAAATAAATCTGAGTATAATATAGCCACATACACAACATGATACAAATACCTGTCTCGAGTATAGGTACTAGGTCTCATCAATGTCACCTGTGTGCTTAAGGAAAAAAGGCCAAGGAAAATGTCTAAGGGAAAAATGCTCTTAAGAACTTTGCACTACATTTCAATGTATTCAAAGTATTAATTATGAACATTACATTCCTGTATTACACAGAACCCAATTACTTGAAACACTGACTTTTTATTTATGTATGCAGTAGTACTTAATAGCTGAATAGTTGCTTCTTTTATTATTGCCCCAAAATCTCTTTGAACTTCTACTGTATTGTCAGGCTTCTAAACAGCTGTGCTGCATTTTTTACCTTACCTGTTCAGTGTGTTACCCTCAACAAAGTGTGTATTCAGCAAGAAACTGGGCCCTACACAATGTTTCAGCTGACCTTTAACTGAGTGATGTGCTATATTATTACATACGTTTTATTTATTACTATACAATAAATGCTTACTTAAGAGCCACACACTTTTTATTTCTGTTGTTTTCATTCCTGGGTGAGAAACAGATCACATGGCAGTTATGGGCACCAACCAGAATGTAAATTGGAAATAAATGTTTTTAAATGTGTTTTTTTGTACCACTGTACATCAGAAACATTTTTTTGTCAATGCTAAAAGAAGTATTCCCAGATAACTCAGAATCATATTTAATTCATTACGTTTTACAGAATTATTCTTATTTCCTTAGTATGAAAAGAAATGACACTTCCAATTAAATTAAATAAATTGATTTGGGGGGGGGGGAAAGGGGAAGTATTGCTACAAATACCAGTCACACAAAAGCTAAAAAGAATCCCCAATACTTCAAAAGTTAATAATGAAGAAACTAAGGCAAGCAGTCAGTGGTGCTCAAGTTATGTGAAAAATACTCTGGAGGAATTCATAGTTTGCTCTTCATATTAATGAAAGGTAAGAGTTTCACGGTTTATGAAATCTAATTTGACTCTCCTTCACAGTAGGAGATTACTCTTGAAACTATTATTGCACACTTGAATTGCTATTTTAAATAAGTCCTTTGATAATTACATTTTAAAACTTTACTACTTTCCACAACAAAAACCTATTTAAATATTTGAGGGGGTTAAAACCAAATTATGCCCCCTACTGTTTCCACTTCATTAGTACTCCTGAGTCTTTTCCAGTTTGAAATATATCCTTGAAAAATACTTTTTACTTACGGGCTCCTTTCCCATGTGTTTTTCTGTACCGGTACCTACAGTGGCATCAACTAGCAATGATGGGTCACACATTATTACAGCTCCTGTACATCATTTCTTAGGCCTAGGCATTCAGTAACTCACTTTATTCTATGGAAAAGTTGCTCAAAATATCTACTTATTTCTTTTCTCTTATACAGCAGCTAATATCAATATTCAATATCAAGTTCTATCAAACAGACAATTTGATAGCATTCACAAATGAAACCATTGTGAATGGTAGCTGCCATACATTCTTACAAGCAAGAGTCCTGCCAAACAACGTTGAAAGTTTAAAGAGAACATCATATATCAATACTGAGCCATAAATAAGAAATTAACTTTAGAAAAGCACAAAGTTATGGTTTCGTACATGCCTATTTAAAGCACGTGAGATTAAGGCAAGTCTTCGCAACAGAAATACAAAAGTACAGAAGAGTATCAAAGAGCATCAAATAAGACAAGTAGAAATCTCTTACTTGTTCTTTCAGGCCTTTGAACAATCCTAGTCTTCTTATTCTGAATTCCACTTTCATGAAGTGCCTTAAACCAGTCTCTCAATCTGTTTGCAACCTCCCTGAATTCCAGGTCACTGCATACTGAAAAACAAAATGCAGAGCTGTTTAATGTTGTTTTTTTTTTTTCTTGGATGCTTTTCAACTATGCTAAAAAAATGTAAAACATAAAATAATAGAAACATATATGTTCCACAGATTTCTTTAATTCATAAAGTGCAGTTTAATTACTTAGGTATTCCTTCAAAACCCAACTAAGGTCCTCAGAAATAAATGCCTGACATATAAAGCAATTAATATTTAAAACATACTTCGCAAAATACTATAAACAGTTCTAGCATAGATATTTTCACATCTTAATGTAGATGAGGCTGTATGGCAGAGAGACCCATGACAGTTTTTTGGAGTTTCACTCCTATGATCATTAAGGCAATAGTAAAGAAAGCCCTACCAGAACAGGTTAGAGATGTGATTTAGGCAGATAATGCTGAAAGACCCAACTTGCTTTCCTATGCTGAAGTGTGAAAAGAAGAAATAGGCTGACAGTGAAAATGCTTCAAGAGTGCCCTGAAACCTAATTTTGATTGAATGCAGTTTTCCAAGTCAACATTAGTGAGCACCTAACTGCAAACAAGCAACAGTACAACAGCTTTGTGATGGAAAGGATGGCTGCTTTGACCAGAAATAGCAAAAGTAGAAAAAGCACTCAAGACCAAAGAGAGTATCTGTAGCACCATTAGTAGCAGACTGGCTGAAGTGTGGTATAGTACTGGTAGTTAGTACTGAGGCCAGAAGCAGATAATAGAGAAGTGAGGTGAGAAGGCCTATTCACTTTCACTGTTAAGCTGCTGGAGAAGACAAAGAAAAGGTGTGCTTGGAGCAAGCAGATATCCCTTCCAAAACTCCATTTTCCCATTTCATGTGTTTAAGAGAGGCTGGGATAAGACAAGAGAAATAATAGGATCTGGAAGAAGACAAAAGCAGAAGGAAGGCAACCAGGAAAGGCACTGGATGTATGCTTCCCTATGTAACAAAATATCTTCCACTGCCCTTGCCAACATGTTGCTATCATTTCCAAATCAGGATCATCTTCCAGGTCTACCAGTAACTGACTAAGCTACAGTCTGAGGAGCTCATATCTAAGTTAGCAGAGCTTCACAGTGATGCTCTTAAAAATAAATCTCCAGTTCAGCTTACTTTTCCTTTATTATGTAGCAATCCATAATAGGTGGTGATACAGCCTTCAGCACCCTTTATTAAACTGAACACTGTGAAACATCTATTTGTATTGAAGAGTAAGATTGAAACGTCATTATGTCAACAACTATGAACAGCAGGCATCTAAGCATTTGTTTATTCATTCTTTGCTGAAGTCTCTCTTGAGATTTTGATTCTCTTCATGAAAGACTTCGGTGCAATCTATACATATATTTGCATATATTATGAACTGACATTTCTATAAAACTTGTATTGTGCTTTTCTCTTGTGTAACGGAACAAATTTTTTTCTGATAATTTGATAGGGAATTGAGGGGAAAAAAATTTTTAATGATATTTGTGCATGTATGTTCAAAAATGTCACGTCACAACTAGATGAAAGTGGTCTCCTGAGCCCAGACTACACATTAGAATTCAAAGTTGTGGGATTTCTGTGTTTGCTACGACACTTTCCTTTACCAATCCTTGCACCAGCTGACAGGTCAGCATAAAGAATCAGATACTAACTTGGCCCACCCTGCCCCTCCTTAATTTCCCCTCCCATTACAGGTGAAATAGCATAATATTTTTCCCCTCTTACTGCCCTCCCTTGGTTTAAGAGAAAGACTTTTAGAATTGAATCAAAGGGTATGGAGCATAGCACAATCATCAGAGGTACCTGACCTGCAATCTAACTGCTTTGATTTATCTACCCTGCACAATATTGTGTAATACTACCATGGGTCCCAGAAACAACATAGCTCCATTAATGTGGTCCACTGACCTGGCTATTTTCATCCACTTCTAACTTGTCTATATGCAGTGCTACTGGGATTAACCTCTGATGCTGAAATGACCTCCACAGAGCCAGCACATTAACTCATCTACAGGCACAGACACGCACATACACATATAAAAAGGGAGAGTATGAGGAAGAGCCATCTACAAGTAAAAGCTCAGACTGAATAACATTAACAGAAAGATGCATGTGGCAGCTCTGTGACGGAGAGAATGTATGAATTCCTCCTTTCCATAGAGGCAGCCAAGTGGACACACTGAAGCTAACCATCTCCTAAGCTCATTAAGGTGTAAAAACTGCACTAAAAAAAGGAGATAATGCCTTTTTGGCTACTTGCTATAAGAATAAGATAAAGCTTGCTGTTTCAGAATCTGGTACTAGCCACTGTCATGCACAATATGACATAAAATGACATTTTCTGTGTTCCTGACAATTGCATTCCTTTCAAAATGGAAGGTACATATGGCATATTTTGGGCATCAGACACATCTCATATCAGGTCTCAGACTAGAGGCATTCTTCCAACTTCAACTTCTTATAACCCTTTTCCCAAACTTTTCTTTTTATCTCAAAACAAAGAATGAGAAAATTGTAATATTTTTTGGTTCATTTTAACAATTCTGATAACTTTATCATGGGAATAGATCATCTTCAAATATCAAAGCAATGCAAAACAAACTGATTAAAACTGTCATTTGCCTATTTTATACCCCAAAGCTACTCAGGTGCTAAAGTACCTCTCAGACACAGCAAGTAATGAAATTTACTGTATTATTAATTTAAATGCACAATTACTTTTTGGTTCACAACATTTTTAATATTTCTTCTATATGTGAAATACACACGAGACACAGCAGAACTACACTAATCCACACACTTAATTTACATGGCCAAACTGTTCTCAGCAAGGATTTAAAGAATGGGTTTATAATAATCTCTCATATTTCAATATTTAAGTATCCCAGTTTTTTATCAAAGAACATTTAGTTCATTTACTAGCATTTCAGAAAAAAATGTTTAAATGGTAGAACCAGCTAGCAAATTAGAATTGTTGCCATGAAACTTTCTATCAATAATTTCATTTCCACAGGATGCTTAAAATATTTTAAAAATTAGAGTTGGTTAAATAACAACAATTTAATTTCAACTCCTGAAAAGTTAAATGCATTGGATTTTTTTTCTGGTTCCCAACCCCCATCCCTTTTAGAGTTTTCCATTGAGAAGTTAAAGTTTCAGATTTCAGTATACTTGTTTTCCCGAATGCTTTTCAAGATCTAGCTATTCAAACATTAAAGTAGCAGAATAAGAAAGAAAAAAAAAAAAAAAAAAAAAAAGAATATATCTTTCATTTTATGGTCCCCAATAAGAGGTTTTGGTTGGGGCTGCTTAACTATCACCTGATGTCAGTATTCATTCACTTCCATGGTACTCTTGCATATGGTCCTCTCTAAATACTCTGTTACAATATATTCTTTGAAGCATTTCAGAAACATAAAACAATCCGATTTAAATAATTCTGGTTTTTATATTGTGATTAGCAGTGAAAAAAGCTAGTACTATCTCAACATGAGAATTAAAATATATATTAAAAAAGAAAGACTTTATTAGAACATGGTATTTTATACTGGAAAATGACAAAGCAGAAACCAGATTTACATAAGTACGTAAGAACATAGGGTATTAGTCGTGACTAGTAGATCCTTAAAGTAGTACAGCCCTTTCTATAGTCAGAGATTATCATTTGAGCTCCTTTGAGCCAAGACCTCCCATTTCCTAAGTTATTATGTACAAAGTGCTTGGACTACTTAAGCCATGATAGTAGCAGGAAGGCTGCACTCCTTACCCCAACAGGTAACACAAGAGAAGAAGAGGACTCTTCTCTTGGCTTGATGGAGAAATGTTCTCAAAGGAAAAGACGGAATCTTTTGACAGTCCTCAAAGGTAAATCAGGTAGTAAAACCCCAGTTTGGCTCTATCTCAACCCAGGCACGTGTGCCAAAACTTGACAGAAGAGAAGAACCACATGCACATCTTTCTTCACACACAATGGTTTTTACAATATATTTGATATAATTAGCAATTCATGTGTCATCTAGAAAGCCAACTTCCTAACATTAAATTTGCCTAATATTTTTCTTCATTCAAATTAGATATTTATATGAATTAGAAAAGCTCTAAAATCATCATATTTTCAGATTTGGGGCTAAACATTAATATATTTACTGCTTCAAATATTGTACTTCTAAATATACTATAACTGGTATTTCAAAGATAATCTAAATAAATTTAATTAGTATTAACACAGTACATGAAACAGTACACCTTGCATGAACCCAGCTTCCATGTCGTTATAAACACACAAACCCAGAAATTGTGTATTAGCTTTTTTGCATGTTCTTACATTAGGAAAATAATCTGTAAGTTGCTCTACAGCTGTCATATGTACACACAGCATATTGCAAAATTGAATATAACTCTAATGTTACATGGCCGTATTTTATAAATTTCTATTGAAGTGTTTTTGTATGGTATGCATGAACAGTTAAAAGCAAACTCCAGGACAATTCAAGAACAATGCTATTCTTTAACAACTTTTTTGTGCAATTGTGCTTTACAACTATGGTTCAAACTTATGAATAAGAATAGGGCTTACCATAACCTAATGCATCATGAATAGTGCTTGCTGCAATGTTGATTCAAACCTTAACATTTTTTTTTTTCATCTGATGAGACTACTCACCACCCCGCAACAAGTGTAAGTGGCATATTGAGCAAGTATTCTCACATTATGCATACAGCATAATTTCTAGCTAACAGGGCAAGTGACATATTCAGGTAAAGTCCAGGGGGAATTTTGCCTTAAGAACTTACATATGTAGTGCAGACTTCAAATAGACTATTGAATAATAAAGATGGCCTAAATTTTTTTTTTGTTTCTCTTTCTATCTGCTGAACAGAGCTGTCTCAAATCCTGTAATCTATCAAAAAGTCCAATTTTAAAAAAAATCTCTTTTCAGAAAGAAAATATTTTTGGTGATAAAAGAAAAAAAAATGGAGGAAAGTAAATCTGGGAAGTAGCACAAGAATTT